TCTGAGCACGGAGCACGAGCTCCAGCCAGCCCATACGCCCACGGCCTACTCCGTCACTGCAGCGGGTCGACGCTCTCAAGGTACGTCATGTTTTACTCGTCGTACGTTCATCTTTGCACACCTAAGTTACATTTGCATTACTGAAACATTGAAGTTTGTATTGCAGGCCGAGCTGTAGGCCCAGAAGCTCGTGGTCGAGGCTCAGAGCGCGCAGTTGCAGGCCCAGAGGGAAGCGTTCGCGGCCCAGGAGAGGAGGATGCAAGAAATGGAGGCCTTCATGTAGAGTGTCCAGCAAGGGGGTGTACCTTTGCCGTTGGCAGCTCCTCCACCGCCTACTCCTACAGTCACTCCTGTAAGTATGAAAGTTCACTCTTACTAGATGCTTCCTTGACATACAACCATGCTTGACATAGAAACTTACTAGATGCTTGACATAGAAACTTACTACATGCTTGTACTAGCTATGACATACAACCATGCTTGACATTCTCAATTTACTAGATGCTTGACATAGAAACTTACTAGATGCTTGCACTAGCTATGACATACACCAATGCTTCACATAAAAACTTACTAGATGAATCTCACACATGCAACCTCTTATCCTTTTTGCAGCTTCCGTCGGCGGGTTCGAATAATCCCGCTCATGCGTCACCGAATGATGGAGCCTTTGCTTCACCATCGTGTCATAGGCCGTCTTTTTGAGGAGTTGTGCTTCGTCATGTGCTTGGACTTGAGCTTCACTTGTGGCTGTGACTTGTGCTTGGACTTGATGGACTGTGGTTGTGAATTTGTGACTTGTGGTTGTGATATTTGACTTGTGGTTGCGATATGTTGTTATTTGAGTTGTGGTTGTGATATAATGTGTGAAAATGGTTTCGTTGTGATATATATGTGATTATTGTGATGTTTGTGATATATATGTGACATGTGATATATATTTGAACTGTTTGTGTCAATGGAATGCAAAAAACAAAAAAAAAATTGTAATTTCGGTTGATTTGCCGAGTGCAACGGTCATGGCACTTGGCAAAGCTGGGAAACTTTGCCGAGTGTCAGGAGATTTTTTTTTAAAAAAAGCAAAAAAATCTTTGCCGAGTGCCAAGTTGGGAGGCACTCGGCAAAGAGCTTTTTAAAAAAAATTAAAAATGGCTTTGCCGAGTGCGCGCCGCCGTGGCACTCGGGAAAGAGTTTTTAAAAAAAATAAAAAATGTCTTTACCGAGTGCCTTGCCGCCGCGGCACTTCGGCAAAGAGTTTTTGAAAAAAAAAATGTCTTTGCCGAGTGCCCTAACTGTCGGCACTCGGCAAAGGCGCTGTCAACGGAGCAGCGCTATTGACGGCTGCTTTTCTTTGCCAAGTGCCGCCGTTGGCACTCGGAAAAGGCTTTGCCGAGTACCCGACAAATGGCCCTCGGCAAAGAGCCTCTTTGTCGTTAATTTTTTTTTCCGAGGACTCTTTGCCGAGGGCGGCACTCGGCAAAGCCTTTGCCGAGGGCTTTTGAGCCTTTGCCGAGTGCCCTGGGCCCTCGGCAAAGAGGACGCCTCCGGTAGTGTTTCAAGTGCTGAAGCCTCGTGATTTGCAGATTGCCAAAAGCTTGCTGTCATCAAAGTTCCTACAGGTGTGTATTTGGCTTCTCAACTTTAAGTAATGCTGTTGTGTCAGAAGCTGCAGTTTTCAAATTAGATAAAATTTTGGGAACATGGAGTCAAAAGTCAGCTATTTGTTTTTACATTTATCTTTTGGGACCATGTACCGGCAGTATGAGAACCAACTGCGAGAATCTTGGGCAAAAGTAACCAGAAAAATTTCAACCTAGTGACCAATGAATGTTGCTAGTGCAGATTTTATATGAAACTCTTGCAATAAATCAACATGCATAATTCGCATGGCAAAATGTTAGTGTTGGACATGACCTGCGACCTCAATTTCATCAGGCATGGAAAAGCTTAATTGCCTGGAATCTAGTGTTTGTACCTGACCAATCTAAATATGGAACTAATACGCCCATGGCCAATAATAGAACATGTGTTATACATTAAGGATGACCTGATATCATTTAAATAATTAGTATTGTTCCCGGTAACCCTGATGCTTTATCATTTGGCCTTGTGACACCATAAAATTTAGCTTAAGGCGCCTATATGATTTATGGTGGTTTTCGGCTGTAGGAGAGTCACAGAGCTGAGCTGACACTGATGGTGGAGAGGGGCAAGCGTGCAGACATCGAAGCTCTCTACTCCCATGGGTTCGATTACTTGGGGAAGTACATCGCGAGAAAGATTGTACAGGGCGATTACATCTGACGCTGCCGTGGGTGCTGTCTGTTTCTCTTCTTGTATTGACCGCTGGAATGTTAGCATGGTTGCATACTTGCATGTGCCAATGAGCTGCCTGGACTATATAGTAAGCTATGTCCAAAACCTGTAGATTGAAACAATGATTGATACTGGAATGTACAATTGTACATAAATACAAAAGATTTGCTTCTTGTTACTCTAGTCAAATATCGATCTTGATTACGGTTGGGGTCTGCCACCTTGCATGACCAGACCACCAAATAAACAAGCTCATTCTGGTGAAACCGTGGAATCCGAATGAAGAGGCCGCGATGTTCACTCATTGGCCACTGAATCACACGGGTTTTGAGTTCTGATCTGCAGTGCTGGGGCATGGTGCGGCCGATGCAGGGGGATGCAAATACACCTGTGGATGGCAGCATGCAGCAGCAGCGATCCATTCATCGTTCTCCAGAAAGGTGCCGGTCCCAGGAAAGGAGTGGGCAGAATGGACCATGGTCCGTGGGGCCACCCTCGCGGCGCCACGTTTGGTGCCACGTCGGCGCTTCTCGCATGCACACATGCACATGTGTCGGAGCACCTGAAGTCGCCGACTCCGCCGCCCGCCACCAATGACGCGGACGACCCAGCAGCATTTCCGAGCATTCTGACATCCAAATCCAAGTTTTCATCCGGCCTCTGCTGCTGACATTTCTTATCCTGCCTCGCTCACTCGAGAATGAGCTAGCGTATCATCGATCGTGCCTGCTGTTACGTTACATACATATATATACTTGTCCGAGCACTGAGCATACTCACTAACACACGCGCGTATACTGATGAAGCTGAGAGTTGTATACGTACTAGAGTCCTAATAAGTAGTATATTATCATGGATCGATCAAGGAGGATGCTGTGCTGCGGCGGCGTGTCGATGTCGATGTCGTGCCCCGACGTGGTCACCATATGCGGCCTCTTCGCCGTGCAGTGCATCTACGGCCTCTACATGATGTTCCTCAGCGCCCTGCTCGCCGCCGGCGTCCCTTCCCTCTTCATCATCGTCGTCGCATGCGCCGCTTCCTCCATCGTGGTCCTCCCCTTCGCCCTCGCCCTCGAGAGGTATGTACGTCTTATGTGGGTGGATGCGTGCGTCTCTCTCTATGGCAGTGGCACGCGAATGTTTGGTTCATCAGCTCCTAGTTCTTTTAAATAAAAAATAAAAATAATTTCTCGTTAGCCGGAGCTTTATTAAACGGGACTTTAAATTGTTGCTTGTTAATTAAGATTTAGCTGATTTAGTCCCTTCATGCATGGCCTTGACTACAGGAAGAAATGGCCCAAAGTGTGGAGCCCCATGTTGGTTGTTCAGCTCATCATCATTTCACTAGGAGGGTGAGAGGTCAATTTCCTCCTAAGTATATTTTTTATTTTTTTTAATACTTTTGTTCATGCCATGCTTGATTTCCCCAAAATAGCTTATACTGATTTGGCTTAGCCCTGTTCGTTTCGCTGAAATTTGGTTTATGCTAATGCTTATGCTGATTTGTTGTGAGAGAAAAATATCGTTCGTTCGCTGAAAATCATAATTAAAAGAGATATATATCCAGAAGTTATCTTTAGTCCTTGAAAGAGAGAAACTCAAATGAACGCTTGCAGTACTACAGTAGTAGTGGCATTTATCTGCTTGGTACCTTGCAGTACTACTGATTTGGTGCATCGATCTAGACTCAGCATCCACAATTCATGGCTTCTTCTTGGTACCTTGTACATTATTAATCCCTCGGTGTGTATTACACTACTTGGTGGCCGATTCCAACATCTAGCAAACTGCTGCTAGGCACTTGATTAAACAAGTTTGAAGTTCCATCCCATATTGTGTAGGGTGTCAATATACCAAGTCATCATGATGCTCGGTGTCGCACGCACCTCGCCAGCGATCGCCTCCGCCATGCCTAATCTTTGCCCTGGCTTCATCTTCGTCATCGCAGCCTACCTGGGGTTAGTGTTGTACAGACTGACCTTTACTGAAACATGAACGTCACTTCACAAAATTAAACATGGATACATGTGCAGTCCTAAGTCCTAACCGTTGATGTGTTATTAGGTTTGAGAGGTTCGACTGGAAGTGCAAGTACACCAGAGCGAAGATCTTGGGCACTCTGGTGTGCCTCAACGGGGCAATGTGCGTCAGCTTCCTGAAGAACCCCACTCCCAGCGTATCCATTCCCGGCGATGATGAAGAGCTCTCAGATGGCAAAGGCAGGCACGATTGGATACTTGGATGTTTCTGTCTTCTGACTGGGGTCATAATCTTCGCCTGCAACACTGTTCTGCAGGTAATTAAGCAATAGTCACTGTCAGGGGTCTGTAGAGTAAGCAATTCTTCTATGCGTCTGAATTATATTTCTAGCTGAATGTGGTGCTGCTGGTCTAGGCTGCTGCTCTGAAGAGATTCCCTGCACCGTTGTCTATCTGTTCCATCACCGCCATGATGGGGTCGATCTTCAGTGCTATCGTCCAGGTCTTGATGGAGGGGAAGCTCACTGCAAGGACCGCTGACAACCTCAGCAGGATCATTGGCGAAATTGTGCTTGTGGTACACATACACATCTATCTATATCTACTGAATTCAGACTTTCAGCACATGATATGCTACGTTCTTGTAACTTGAAGAACTGCAATGAAAGACTGAAGAAAGTGAAACGACTGCTTCTGCTACTGTAGGGAGGCGTGGTGATCGGCCTGTGCACGGCATTCCAGGTATCAAGCATTGGGCGCAAGGGGCCTGTACTGGTGTCCATGTTCAACCCATTTCAGACGGTCTTCTCGGCGTTCATCTCCTTCATTTTCTTCGGACAATGGATCGGCTTGGGATGGTAATGCACGCCAATTACAGGGATGCAATGCTGTTGCATGCTCTGAATTTTGAGCCGAGTCCAACTAACCAACACACTTATTTACACCTAACGATGTTCATATCGTTTCCTTGCTGCAGCTTTGTGGGGATTGTGCTCATGTTTGTTGGACTGTACGTGGTTGCAGCTTTGTGGGGCTTGGGATCCTCGCCCCCCCACCCCCCGCCGCCCACCCCTGCTTCCACCACACATAGCTGGTGGCTCCCACCGCCTCCCGTGCCTTGCCCCGTCCTCCCCTAATTAGTAGCATCGTGACTCCTTAGTCACCCCCGTTCCGACCACCATCTCCCGCTGCCCGGCTGCTGTCTTGCCCATCACCACCATCACGATGTCCCCAAAGCCTCTTCTACAGTTGCCAGTGAGTGGATTCTCTAACCCGGAAACCCCAACCCTTTCCTCTCCACCCCCCCCCGGCGAGCATCGGCGGATGGGGGTGTCACCCCTGTTCCGACCACCATCTCCCGCTGCCCAGCTGTTGTCTCGCCCGTCACCACCGTCAAGTCACGACGCCCCCAAAGCCTCTTCTACAGTTGCCAGTGAGTGGATTCTCTAACCCCAAAACCCCAACCCTTTCTTCTTCCCCCCGGCGAGCGTCGGCGGGATGGATCGCGCGGCTTTGTCGACCTTATTTCATATTTTCCCCCACTTTGTTTCTACTGCCACCATGTGCCCGCCAAATACTGGAGCACGTCATGTGTACAACGCATTTGGCAAAACCAGATGACCCAAACAAGATGACCCTATCTTCGTATATTTCAGCATCAAACAGGAGCACTCGGCCGGGAGCCAGGGACCTTATGGGAAAAATGCACCTGGGGTTGGTCTAGCATCGTTTGGTTAGCTAGAGCGAATTTGATCACTGCTGAGGTTAAGGAAGAACAATAATTTAGGGCTTGAAGAGAAAATTACGATATTGAATACCCTCAATTAGCCATGGTCCTTTATATTTATATATAGGGTAAGAGGTTTATTTCTGAGCTAGAGTTCAGTACATCCTGATTTGCAATCTTAACCAACTCAAATGCAATTTGGACAGTTAAGGGTCACCCGGTTTTCACCCATTTTATGAGGGGAGGTTCTCCCAAAGATCGTAATTCTCTTATTTGGGCTCTAAATTAAACGTTCCACGCATATATTTCGACCATCTCGACGAGACCTATATAACGGTGGAGTCCGATCACTAATTTCAAGCTTACCAAAACCGGACCACCTGGTTTGGAAAATCAGGTCACCTGGTTTTTTCCAGCTTACACAAAACTACCAATTTTGGTTGCAAAAACTTTCGGCACAGCTGCAAGTTGAATCGACTCTCTGAGAGTTACTGAAACAGGAAGTGAGTAAAACATAATCAACTCCTATGCGAATCCTTGCAGGAAATGCTAAGAATTAATGAACCAAACACAAATTTTATACCTCTTGAATGTTTCCATGTTGAAATGTTTCACAGTGAAACATATTCATGTGAAGCAAGTTAACAATTTGTTGCACTTGGCACCGCAAGATCGTACTTTATATATGACTCTTGTCTACAAAATGGTATGTATTTGCACATGTTGAGATGACCATAGAAGTGGCTGGCACAGAGATTCATCAAAAGACACTCACGGAGCAAGCATTGAGGTGACCTCAGTGATCTCCACTATCGATTTGACATATCAGACATTGATTTAGAATGCTACCTCTATTGAGGATGTTGTTTTGGTAGAGAATGCTTCTAATGATTAGCAAGTTGATACACATGTGACAATTAAGGAACCCATCATTCTTATAACCATCGATGATTGCCCTACCCATTCCACGACCAAGGTCAACATAGAAGAGTCTCAATTGATACGGGATCCAATGATAGAGGCAACTTCTCTTCTGACCACTCCATCTAGCTCACTACTGGAATCCACTAGTTTCGCCCTAGAGTGGAATTCCTAGGGAAAGGCACAAAAAATGGTAGGGAAACATGTCCCTAGGATTTTTGTGGGGAAAGCTTTCTAGAGGGGGGCAAAGATCTCGCATGCCCTCTTCCTATACATCCCACTTCTGCATTGACCACAACAACAAGACACAATGTAAGTCCTATGATAGATCAATGCTTCATCAGAGTGACCTCTTGCACAATGTAATGTGTTCAAAGATTTGAGCAATGCTAGGAATGATGAGAAGCTCAATGAGGATGCAATGTAAGACTATGCAGAATGCCTAAGACATGATGGTTGTGGTTTCTTTGTCCTTTCTTTATAGGTTTGACTTTGTTGTGATTGTTTGGTTTGATCACGTTGAGAGAAAGTTGTTATTAGTATATTTGTATTAGTTAGTTGTTATGGCTGTTGCTACTAGTGTTGTTTTCTGTTGTATCCCCTTTGAGACCGTTGTTTGTCCAGTCTAGGCCGTCTTCTTTATTAATATAATTGGCAGCTCCCTGCTTGATTTGTTCAAAAAAACAATATGGCATGAGAAATGATTGAGTAAAGTATTGTATGAAGTGCTAGAAAGGAACATATAGTGAATTGGTGATAACAGACAAGTTAACAAACCATGTGTTCCTGCTTGACCCACAGAGAAAGTGCATCATGAGAAGGTCGTATCACATTCATAATATACTTGTTGACATCAAGAGTTCCCCCAAGCACTTCACAATGCATCAAATTATGCTTTCTCCAAGACAAAAAAAATGCTCCATGTGAAGTGCTCGAAGGGAACTCCTGAAGACACCAAGTGTGACTCTACTAACCTCTACCTTCATTGCTGACTTGGTGTGCAAATTGTCGAAGTGCCACCTAGAGTTCACCCAAACACTTCACTAGCCGCCTAAAGTAGGTCCACGTTGTGCATGGCCTAGCTGATGAAGTGTTTGGGAGGAACACTGGGAAGCAACCGGCTACAAACTACTAAACCAACTATTTTGGGAAAAAATGCTTGTTGGCATCAAGAGTTCCTCCAAACACTTCGCATTGGTCTCAAGACTACATCCGTCAATGCGAAGTGCTTGAAGGGAACTCTTGATAACACACTACTATAGGAATGGTTTCTAGGGGCGGCTGGTGAGGCTTTGTAGAGGCGGCTTGGCCAGCCGCCCCTACCATACTGTCTCTACAAATCATGCATTTGAAGGTAGGAGGCGGCTGGTCACCCCTATAAATTGATTTGTAAGGACAGCTGTAGTACCAGCCGCCCCTATAATACCTGTTTGTAGAGGCGGTTCAGTCTAGAACCGCCCCTACAGTACATTTTTCCGCAAAAAAAAACAAATTTACAATTCAAATTCGACCAGAACATATATATTTACATTTCGCACATGAACCATGAAATATGGAAACAAGAGTTATATTCATGTTTGCTGTGTATATAGTAAATCAGTACTTGTAGGAACATAAAATTTTCAGAATGGTCTAGTTGCAGGCTGGTAACCATATCACCAGTGATGTAACAGGTATTGTGATTCAAAAGGGCTAGTTAATTCTGGTGGTATGCCTATTTGAAAATTTTGATAAATGAGCTGCAAGTAAAGTACCAATATGATCCATACATGTTTTGGGCATAAGGCTGCAATCAGATAATTGACCAAAGTAGAATTGTACCTCAAGTGGCCACCTAAAACACTAACTAGCAAGCATTCTAATGGTAACTAAAGCAGTTTATCACACACAGCAGTCCATACAATATCATCACACCCTACTAATTATGCAACAGCTAAAGTCTCAATTTTTTATGAGAAGAACATCATCACAGTTATAGTGATGTAAGGCAAGATATCAGAGGAAAAACTTATTGACTATTTAAAATGTCTATTGTTTAAGTGAGGTCTGGAAGGATATGGCTGCAGCCCCTGGACAAATCTGAGATCGACGATTTCTCATTAGAATATATGTTGAGATTTAGTTCTCTCCCAAAAAAATTAAGAATAATGTTGAGATCGATGATTGTGCAGATTTGTTTTCTAAGAATAATGTGACTAGCAACTACTTCAGAAGCACCAATACCGCTGCTGCTCAATACAAGATCTGTGACTTTGAAGGCAAAAACCAGTTATGTAGGCAGAAAAAAAAATGGCAACAATAGAGAACTAGATCAATTTACCTCTTAGAAATTTACAGCTCATATCACATCAGAGTCTGCACTCTGCAGCACATGATAAAAAAAATATTGGTATCCAACTTTCCAGCAAGATATATGAGATAAAAACATCAGAATCGAGAGAAAAACAGCCTGTGGTAGTGATAGCATGAGCATGAGATCGTATAGAAGTCAACTACAAGGAAGTGTGCAAGGTAACTTACCAAAAATGAATAGTAGTGCATACTTAATAAAAACTGTACACCAGATTTGTTTTATAAAAGAATTCACCCATATTAGTATGATATTAGAAATGAGTATAATAGTATATTCACCCATAGTCATCAGCTTTTACAGTGAGTCTTGGCACGATCGATTTGAGGGTACAGACTAAGACTACAGAATGATCTTATAATTTTATTAACTACTAAGAAGCTCATCTCATTTTGGAATTTTCCCTGGTTTGATTGGCAAGTTCTGAATATGTTGAATATTAGTAATTACCAAGAAGCTTAACTCATTTTGGAAATTTTCCTATCTAATTATTGTAAATAACACATAGAGAGTTGCATTAGAGAAAAATAATCTGTGCATCATACAGCAGAACCAAGCACAACCAGGGATCTCACCATCGTGTTGCAAAGATGGGGAAGGCCTAGGACATACGGTGTTGGATGGCACTATGCAGAAGCTCCATGTTTGTAATAAGGCACAGCTTAGTGAGGACAAATAAACTGCACATCAGGATACATATCAATAGGAGAATGCCTTTACATCTACATTTCTATCAGACAAAATAAATGTGTAATGAATCATCATCATGCATAGTAAATTAAAAGAATTAGGAACTAACCAAGATGACATTGTTAAAGCACTCATGTCCATCGACATGCCCATTCTGCGCCGGCAGCATT